GTCATTTACTTTCTTATTACTCTTTTAAAATTTCTGAAATCACCTTTCTTCAGTTTAAGGGTTTGTGGTTCATATAGCTCAAAGTTCAGTGTACCTCTGCTCATTTTTTTTTGCTTTCACAAACCAATCGTCTGCTATCAATAGAAGTCGGTACACTTTGACATTAGTGTGCTTAGTTTTCTTGAAATTCATTTACATTTTCAGTTTACTGCAAGTTTAGAGTTTGAACCGCGCATGGTAAATTATTTTAAAGATGAATGAAAGAACAAACAATCATTTTTGACAAAAACCTCGAATAACCTTCAGTATCAGTAGTTGGTTGGCTAAAGTGGTTAGCTCTGTAATCTATTTGCTGAATTGCTTGTTTAGAAATAAGCTGATTATTACTGTAAGATTAGTCTTAAGAACATGAAAGAAAACTATAAATGGAGTTAATACGAACGGTGAGTGTGATTAATAGAACTTTTTCAACAGTGCCGATGGTAACTACGAGGTGTCATTCATGTGCAATGTGCTCATTCATCATTCTGGAGAAGTTCTTTGGGTGCCACCAGCCATCTACAAGAGCAGCTGCATTATCGGTTAGCACCTTTTACAACAAACAATCTGTTGCTGTGATAATTTTTTGACACCCTATGTTAAGAGTCATTCTGAATTTTTCTGATTCAAAGTTATCGGTGTAGAAACTGATTTGCTAGTTTGTAAAATTTGTTATCAAATTTATGAACATAGTTCTATTTTGATCTCCGCTTTTCTGCAGTTCGCACACATCTTTTCATGACGGCCTATTTTGCACAATACTTAAAGTCAAAAATCTACTGAAGTTAGTAATTATTTTTTCAATAATCGAAAGTGTAGATGTCTGCGCAGGAAGATCTGCCAACAATTAGCTTACAACCAACTTCAGGACTTCTCACTAATCTTATTACTTTACATTCCAGTGGTTCTTCGATCTCTTAGGTTTGAACATCAACTTTTAAATCAGCACAATCTTTGCATGTAGTAAAGCCATGCCAACTTCACGAGTACGAGTAGGTTGTAGGAGCGCAGAATCATCTCGCGTAAAAGGGTTAGCAAGTTATGAACATGGAGCGACGACTTCTATGCCCCAACATATTTTCATAAATCTTTCAGCTACAAACGATGATATAGGCTAAGTCTATCACCTAATTACGATTATCACCTTATCAATCAAACAACTATCTCACTGCTGTGCTGCCCTCGCAGAAGCTTCTAGTAGTTTTTCTTTGTACCAAAAATACATAAAATTCAATATAAAGCGAATCAATGTAGTGCCTTTCGACCCTACATCTTGTACAATGTGTTTTTATTATGTTTGGTGTATTGTGAGATAGGACAACAAATAAAGTTAGATATCTTAGAATAAATTCAGTAGTCGACTTTCAGATGTCGAGTTCTTTCCATTCGACGATCAGCGGTGCAGCCTTACATTTGGTAGTTGGACAGTAAGTCTAATTCTTTTGCTATTGATAGAAGGGGAATTAGGAAGCGGAGCAAATTTTCTCTGACCAAAACAAAACTTTAGATTTTGCTGAATTCTTCTTTGTGAAGGTT